GTATTGATCCTTATGTAAGATCTTTTTTTATTCGTTCAGGATCTCCGCTCGTCTCATGGTCTAAACGATGAAATGAAAAGACTCGCCAAAAGTAATGTCCAGCAGGTATTCACATCGAAGGGAATACTCTTCATTTCAATATTCACAATGTGGGCTTTGTTTTCACATTCGGGCGCAGATTTTGTTCCCATTTTGGTATATTCTTCACTATCTTACGCCATTTGATTTCTTGTGAGCTAGCAATTCAACATTTGGGCGCAGATTTTGTTACCAGTTTTGTATATGCTTTACTACAGCTCTACTCGAATCCTTGAACCATTTGATTTCCTTTGAGCAAGCAATTCTGAATCACTTGTTAGGAACGCCCCTCTAAGGAAATTTGAGTACCTTCGGAAAATAAATTTCGGGAGGTAATTTGAAATCGAATCGGCGAAACTAGTTTGCAAGCGCCATGTGGGACACATCTTAGAGAAGTTGTTTGGGAATTTATTCCAAGAGCGCACCTCTTGTTCCTCTTTGGGATCATCTTTCAGGAGGACGCTCCGGGAATGGCTTTCGGAACACGTCGATAATGTATTTCAGGAGGAGATTGGGGAGTCCCTCAATTCGGGAAGGAAGGAATTCTATACGGGGACTTATTTAGAATAAGTACCCATTACATGTAAAGTGAGACATAAACTTAATACTGTCTGCCCATGTTCAAGCATTCCCTTTGTTCAAATTCCACTCTTTTTTTCTGTTGTCAGGTGATAGAGTTAGAGACGAAAAGAAAATAGCAACGCAAACGACTTGACAAAGAAACGCCTTTTAAATTAATGCTTTATTTTGTTATTGTACAGTTTATACCATTGATTAGCTAGAAAAAAGGAAAATAATTTTTTTTTGCCCCTAACTCTAAATTCCGTTATTTAAATATGCCTATTGTTTCGAAGCTTTTTTTTCTTTAAGTTAATGATAAAATGTCTAGATCTTAAATACAAGACTGTGGTACTTACCAGTCATCATAATTGAAATATTTTCTTACGTATGTGACGAAGACAACAAAAACATTGTCCTTCTTAAACTTCGATTCCTGCCGGTAACTTTCTTTTCTCTACCTGACTTGGGCTGGCGAAACTTTATTTATCTCCTTTTATTGAGGCAACACTCGACGAACCCGTTAACGTTTGGGAAAAATCGACATAAAGGATCTAGTATTTTTATGATCCCCTTTGTTTATTTCCTAACACAAAGTTGATTTCTCATCATCAATAACTACACCTTGAGAACACTATACTCTCTCTCTGTTGGCATATTAAAGGAAAATCCATTACGCGACGAGGGAATTCCGCATTAAATTGCACGCGAAAACCGATATGGCTCGAATCGCGAAGCGATGAGTGCGATATTGGTTTTCGCTTGCAATTTAACGCGGAATTCACGAGTCAAGTAATGGATTTTCCTCGAATCGCATAATTGAAATAAAACAAGGAAAATAAAGAAAACAGCATTACTTATAGTTGTTATGTATACGTAGATGCGAAAAAATTTCATAGCCTAGTTTTCAACTCGCAATTCCACGCTGAATACCTTATTTCGTAAACCAATCAGAAAGCTAGATTTTATTGGACGATGCGAATCTAGACAAAATCCAACCTCCAGCGTGTTGGAAGGTTCTTATGTCATTCATATAAGGCCAGACTTGCCTTATATGATCAGGGCTTCACTTTGTCCGACCAAACCTTATGATAGGACACCAACTGGGCCTTCACTCCTCAGCTCACGTAGCAGTTCGATGAGACACACGCGTTCCCTTTCAGGAGCTTGTTGACGACGGCCCTTGTCAGGTAAGTCGTGGTGCCTCCCTGTCCGTCGCGAGGTGTGTTGTAAAATTGGCCTCTAGTTTTCTGTGCAGTACAGAGTAAGAAGGCGAACAAAGCTACTTGGAATACAATTCTATGAAAATTTAAATCAAAACTGAGACAGCCCTAGGAGGGCTTGCTTCCCAATCCCCCCTCCTCTCCCCCAGGGTTTGCTTCACAGGCTACCCTATAATAGGTCATGGTGCTTCTTATGAACGAGAAGTTAGTCTCCCACAGGAGTAACTTTTCAAGCAATTCGTCAATTTCCGCTGACACTTTACTGGTCCTGAGTGATACTTTCGAGTTGGGAGTGGCACTTTTGAGAGTTAGGGGCCTTGCCTGGGAACAGTACCTAGCGATCCAGAGTACACACCACTGGCCAAGAGGCACACAGGATATAGTACGCCCATAACGTTGGAATGAAAACTTGGCTTTTTAAAATCTACGAAGATGCATGTTGGAAAATTGAAGAAATCTGCTAAAAGACACTTTCCTTGCAGGAGACTTAGGATCAGGTTTTAAGACATGCAAAATGATTTCAGTATTTTTAAGGCTCTCAGTCAATGAAAGAGAACGGGAAAGCCACAGAAGGCGATTGCAGTCGAAATCCTGACCGTTTCACTTCTAACAGTTATCTTTTGCCGAGAACCTGACACAGACGAAAATTACCCCCAAGTGGAAGGATAGAGCAAAATGTCGCACAAAAATAGAGTAATTTGTAGTTAATTCAACTTACCTGATCATTTCCTGAACCCAATTCACTAGCAAAGAGTTCAAGGGCTTCGTCCACAAGCTGAGTGAGAGATGGCAAATAGTGTAATTATATCCAAACGCAAACTTATGTATAAATCGTCATGCTAATTGACGAACTTGTCAACATGAACAGGTTTTCACTACTCGTTTACTTTGTCTCGAAAGGGATATTCGATGTTTCAAGGATGAGAAGCTGGTTTCTTCGATTTCAAGGCATTGTCAGATTCGTCAAAAGTCTACCACCGATCGCATTTACTTCTGTTTAGCAAATGGATGTATCATTGCACTATTTCGTTCGTTTGATTGGTTCTTTCATTTGTTCGTTCTCTTACGTTCAAATCACAATACTCTTATTGTGACAAGTTACCTCGTCTAAATTGATGCACTGACTCAACTCCACTTCTGGGTTTCGTTCAAGTATCGTGGAAAGCACAACCAGTAGCTGACGAGAGAAATGGGTGCAGATAAGCTTAATATAAAGACGTATTGCATGAGTATCGCGTTTTTAAATCTTAATTACCATTAACAACTCTCGATATTATTCTGTTAAGTCCTGTGAGCTTCGTGGCCTTTTGGTGCTAGAGGTTATCCCGTTTTAATTTGCGTAAAGCTGCTGAAAGAATTATCGCTCCAGGTTGTCAAGACCACCACATAGTAAAACCCCAACCAACACACGACAGGTCATCAAGTTTTCCTGGCAGCGTACTGGTGCCCATTAATACTTCTTGGTGGGAGGGGGCTCTGGTCACGTAACATACAAAAGAGCATGCGCAAGAAAATTACTCGACCAGAACTCCAAACCCAGATCTCTCGACTTGGTGTCCAGCTTGCTCACTAACATGACTTATCATATCTCCCCCAATTGAAGTATAAATATCAAAAATGATACCTCCACAACTGTCTGTCTGTATTCCGGGTTTGATATGTCGCTCAATAGTTCTTCTACCTTCAACTGAAAATTCCTTTCACGGTTTGTCATATCTGCTATTGTAGGAAGCTGCAAGACGAATTTATACAGAAAAATGCTTGTAATCCTGTAAATGATTCCTTAACAAACCAATGGGTAAACACTATCAACTGCATTCGATTTAAAAAAACCTTGTCGTCTTGAAAATGTGACCCGAAACTGATGAGACCCAACGGCTCTTAATTACAATATCAGTGATTAATTTTAAGACATAGAATTCGTTTTTTTTTTACGTTCTTTTTTTAAAGCTATCGAAAGCTAGGATAGTTTCCATCATTCACCATGCACAACTAGTCATTCCTAACGTCCATTGAAGAGAGTGGAGCATTTTGTAAATAAATTCAGTATACCCATTATGCCTTGGTTCGCTTGGGTTCTCGTTCTTAAAGCTTTTCAGGTGAAAATGTTTTTGCATAGTTAATGTCTCTTCGATGTGCGACAAATCTTTCATTTTTGCATTTCTGTGAGTTTTTGGTGATGTAACTGTAAAAGTGAACGAGTCCATAGCCTCTACCAAACTCTCGTTAAGTGGAAATAAGGAGAAGAGCAGGCGCTTGAAGAATCGCGGGGGTTTGGCTTAAAACCATCGTTTGTCTCCCGGCTGCTCTTCGCTTGTCCTCACTGATTGAGAACACGAGACAGGCCGATTTGATCCAATATTTGAAATTCTCCCGATTTCGCAACAGGGGCCACAACAAGTAAAGCTAATGTTGGAATAAATAGGACCCAGTTAGCAAGAAGGGTTTGGTCAGCCATATATTTCTTAGTTCCTTGAACAAATTTCAATTCTTATTATACTATGCTTCACCCTTTCACCAATAACGTTTGCTAGCAATGAAAATTGAAAGCAAAACTCGTTTAGAGCATCAGAGCCAATTATCTTTCCGAAAGTATTTTTTTTTTATAAATGACACCGAACAAACAGTCACTCACCTGTGCTAATGTATGATTAGAA